TGTAGCCCTATAGCAGGCGTCCTCAAACTATGGCCAGCAGGCAATATGCGGCCCGCCTAGGACATTTATCTGGCCTGCTGGGTGTTTTTGCCGCTGCTGCCTGTCCTGTTTAGCAGTCGACTTGTCCTGGGGCCTGCAGTCCTGCCCTCCAGCCGTCTGAGGTACAGTGAACTGGCCCCCTGTTTAAAAAGTTTGAGGACCCCTGCCCTACAGGAACTCCCCTCCTGAAACAAAGACAGTAAGGACCTAGTTAGCCCACCTCCGAAGTTCACATCAAAGGACCCTAACTCTGTGAAGCCTTTTGGGCTGGCTGTGAAATTTGCCCACCCCCTAAAGCTCCATATAAGAGGGCTTTCTTACTGACCATAGGAGCGGATGCCATCTTACCATTTCCCAGGCAGGTTGCTGTTCCTTTAAATAAACCTGACTTAAAACTTCTCTGCTCCTTGTTCCCTGGTTGTCACCTTTCAGGTTCCAGAGGGTTCTGAAGTGAAGTGAAGAACTCAAGACTCCATCCCACAGACCTCTTCTGAAAGCCAGTCTGAACCATGGGTTTAGGCCTGGGGAAGGATACTGTACTGAGTCAGCATTGAACTGAGCAGCTGGGCTAGGAGGGCTGGACAGCAAATGTGAAAAGCCAGTTGTGGGAATGCCCAGCTTAAGCTCCAGTCAGCATTAGCTCTGCTGACCCCAGGGTTAGCTAGGTGTGGTAGGGCTTGTACTCCATGTAAGGAGTGACTGCTACACCTGATAGTGGCTTGAAGTACTGTGGATTCACTACTGCCAGTCTTCTAAATTTTCAAGAAAATATGCAAATCTGAGTTTGATATGAAATCTTATTTTATGTTGGCAAGTTATTTAAATTTTTAAAAATATTGTGTGTCCACCAACACTGTGCAAGCCAGGTATACCAAATATCTCCTCCTGGGGCAGCCTTTTAGGGGCTTTGAGATAAGCTTGAAAAGGTATAGAATGGGTGGTAACAGTCTCTGGGTGATAGCTTCCCAGGAAATGAATGTAGGTGAGGAAGGATGGGTATAGATTTTGGAAGGGGTCCTCAGTGGAGGATAAGGAACAGGTAAATGGTACAAGGGGAACATTTGGAGGAACAGAGGTCAAAGAAGACGAAGAGGGGTCACTCAGGTGGCAACTGTAGACAGACCTGCTGGAGTTTAGGGAGCAGTTCTGTAAAATCACAGAAACTACAGCTAGGTTACAAAGGATGGGGGTTTGAGATTTGATTGAAAGTCATAACAAGAGGGCATGGGGACAAGAGTGCAGCTGTATACTTTCAGTTTTTATTTTAAAAATACACATAACATAAAATTTCCCTGTTTTTTTTTTTTATTTTTTATTTTTGTAGAGACAGTGTCTCTTACTCTGTTATTCAGGCTGGTTTTGACCTCCTGGCTTCAAATGATCCTCTTGCCTTGGCCTCCGAAAGTGCTGGAATCATAGGTGTGAGCCCCTATTCCTGGCCAAAATTCACCACCTTAACTGTTTCTAAGTGCATAGTTGAATAGTGTTAAATACATTCACATCATAATACAGTCAATCCCCAGAACTCTTCTCATCTTGCAAAACTGAAACTATACTCATTATACAACAGCTCCCCATTCCCCCGAGCCCTGGCATCCACCCTTCTACTGTCTGTCTTCATGGGTCTTATTGCTCTAGATACCTCCCATAAGAGAAATCACTCAGCATTTATCCTTTTGCAAATGGCTTATTTTACATAACATATTGTCCTCAAGATTCATCCATGTTGACATGTGACAGGTTTTTCCTTCCTTTTTATGGCACAGTAATATTTCATTGTGTGGATATATCATACATTATTAATCCTTTTATACCTCAGTGGACATTTTGAATTACTTCTACTTTTTAACTTGTATTGGGGGTTGAATTTTGGTTCTAAAGAGGCTGGCGCCTTTGGCTTAGTGGGTAGGGCGCTATCCCCATATACTCAGGGTTGTGGGTTCAAGCTCGACCCTGGCCAAACTGCAACAAAAAAATAGCCGGGCATTGTGGTGGGCGCCTGTAGTCCCAGCTACTCGGGGGGTGGGGGTGGGGGGCTGAGACAAGAGAATGGCCTAAGCCCAGGAGTTGGAGGTTGCTGTGAGTTGTGACGTCACAGAACTCTACTGAGGGCAATAAAATGAAACTCTGTCTCTTAAAAAAAAAGAGAGAGAGAGAGAAAGAAAAGTTCAGTTGCTAGGATCATTCATAAGAGTTTGGTGGTGGGCAGGATCATCAAAGGGGTAAAAATACAGAATACATGAGAGAGAATCTTTCAGAGAAAGAGATGACATCATTTGGGAAAGTGTTTTTGTTTCTTTTTCTTTCTCTTTTTTTTTTTTTGAGACAGAGCCTCAAGTTGTTGCCCTGGGTAGAGTGCACTGGCATCACAGCTCACAGCAACCTCCAACCTGGGCTTAAGCAATTCTCTTGCCTCAGCCTCCCAACTAGCTGGAACTACAGGAGCTCCTTTCCCCACTATTTCTCTTTTTTCTAAACACATACTTTAAATATTCTCTATTTGGCTAGGAGCAGTGACTCATGCCTGCAGTCCCAGTGTTTTGGGAAGCAGAAATGGGAGGATGACTTGAGGCCAGGAGTTTGCCCAGGCAATGTAGTGAGACCTCATCTTTACAAAAAATTAAAAAGAAAACACCAGCTGTGCATGGTGGTGGTTTCTTGTAGTCTCAGCTACTCTGCAGGATGAAGCAGAAAGATTGAGCTTAGGGGTTTGAGGCTGCAGTGAGCTATGACAGTGCCCCTGTATTCTAGCCTTCTTGACAAAATAGAATAGCATCTCAAAACAAAAACCAAAAACACTCCCCACAAAACAGGAGGGATGTAGTGGCTCACGCCCTTAATCCTAACAGGCACGGAGGCAGAGGTACATGGATGCTTTGAGCTCAGAAGTGCAATAACAGCCTAAATAAGAGCAAGACCTTGTCTCTACTAAAAACAGAAAAACTAGACAGTTGTTATAGCGAGTACCTGTAGTCCTCACTACTTGGTAGGCTCAGGCAAGATCACTTGAGTCTAAGAATTTAAGGTTGTTGTGAGCTATAATGCTACAGCACTCTACCCAGGGCGACAGAGTAAGAGTCTGTCTCAAAAAAAAAAAAGGGCAAAAAATCCCACGAGGGAACTTAGTCTATATGGACAGAATTGAAAATAACAAGTACAGTTGTGATCTTTTTTTTTTTTTTTTTTTTTTTTTTTTTGAGACAGAGCCTCAAGCTATGCCCCTGGGTAGAGTGCCGTGGCATTATAGCTCACAGCAACCTCCAACTCCTGGGCTCAAGCGAGTCTCCTGCCTCCGCCTCCCAAGTAGCTGGGACCACAGGCGCCCGCCACAGCGCCCGGCTATTTTTTGGTTGCAGCCATCATTGTTGTTTGGCAGGTCCGGGCTGGGGATTCGAACCCGCTACCTTAGGTGTACGTGGCTGGCGCCTTAGCCGGTTGAGCTATAGGCGCTGAGCCTACAGCTGTGATCTTAATCCTGCAGAATCATATGAGAATACATATGATACTTGTTTGCTTGATCTGGTCCTTGATTAAAACACCCTGTTCTAGCTTGATGTCTGAGAGTCTGATAATTTCTTACCTGTTGAACTAGGCATGGTTCCCTCCCAGTTCTGTTAGGGTTTAAGGATGACTTTCAGCACTAATATCTCCCTACCCCTTGCCTGTGTTTTGGGTGCTGGGGCTATAGGAAGAGCCTCTGCCTCCTGCCCTAGACTGCTTCAGTGCTAGAACTCACTCAGTCCTTGGGCCATCCTCCTTGTCCAAATGCTCCAGTGGGGCGTCCTTGGGCGGTGTTGGGTGATGGATCCCAGTCTCCTCACCTGATGCTGCCTGTAGTCATTGAGCTTATCTTCAGATAGGTTATGTGCAGGATGCTGCTGGAGCCATAGTTCCACAGATGATTTCTGGCAACACATTCCTGGTGAAGAACGGCTCATGTAGGTATGCTGCCATTTAATCCACCAGGCTTCTAGTCTTGATGCTCGGTTTGTTTTCAATTGTAGCATACGTATCATTGCAGATCATTAAGTCTATCTTTATCTCATATCTTTTGTCTGGGATATATTCTCAGAAGTCAGATTGTAGGGTCAAGAAATAGGTACTTTTTTTTTTTTTTGAGACAGAGCCTCGAGCTGTTGCCCTGGGTAGGGTGCTGTGGCATCATAGCTCACAGCCACCTCCAACTCCTGGATTCAAGCGATTCTCCTGCCTCTACCTTCCAAGTACCTGGGACCACAGGTGCCTGCCACAACACCCGGCTATTTTTTGGTTGCAGCCATCATTGTTTGGGGGTCTGGGCTGGATTTGAACCCGCCAGCTCAGGTGTATGTGGCTGGTGCCTTAGGTGCTTGAGCTATAGGCGCTGAGCCCCCAGGCTGGTTTCAAACTCCTAAGCTCCGGCTTCAGCGTCACAAGTAACCAGGACTACAGGCACTGTCCACCTCACCCCATGAAGGATAGATACATTTTGAATGTGGCCAGTACCATGTGAAAATACAGAGGCATCTGGTGGAATGGAGAAAGAAAGCACTAGGCTTAGGAATGGACTGTGCTGCTTAGCAAGGCAGGGTTCTGGGCAAATCTTCTCTGCCTTCAGTTTTGTTTTCTTTTTCTGTAAGATGAGTCTCATGAATCCACACTGAAGCCCTACGGCAGACATAAATGTCTGAGCCCTGTAGGCAAGCATATAGAAGGAGGGCAGACCTGCCAGATTCCATGACAGACTTGGATAACAGCCAGCTGCCATTTGTGCAGCAGTGATGGCTTACTTGATAATTGCTTCAGGATTTCAAAGATGCTATTACTGTCCTCTACAAGAAGAAAATCTGTTTTGCTTTGAAGATTCTAATTCACTTTTAGGCCTCTGATGGAGATCCAAGAGTCATCCTCCACACGCATGCCATGGATGTGCTTCTAAAGCTCATAACACAAGTATTAATGTAATGCTTATATCTTTACAGGGAAAATTTATGGTGATGTTCCCTTTATAGAAGAAAGACACAGACATCGGTATGAGGTATGGCTTTCATGCTAATTTACTGCAATACATGGGTGCTTAGTGTGAGGAACCCTAGTGATTACAAGCAAGCTTTCTGGAAAATGTGTCCAGCCAGGTGGCATGCATACGACTCAGGGAAGGTGGGCCACATTTCCTGCAGTCTCCTTTTAGAGGAGATAGGAGTTGGGGGAGAGGAGAATCTTTGTTCTTTTTGTCTTTCTAAAGGCAAAATTTTTAATTATCTGAATATGAGAATATCAGGGTTCTGTGTTACTCTTGACCACTGTCTACTACCCCATTCCTTTTCTTTAGTCTCTGCCCTTAATCTTCCCACGTTTGGGAAAGCGGGCACTTAAATCTCCTGAGAAGGAGCCCGAAGTACTTCTTGGGGTAGACAAGCATCCCTGGGTATCTTGGGTCTATTCTTGGCTTGGACACCTTTTTGGAAGTTTAAATTGAGCTTAAGGCCCAGTGTCATGTGATGAAGAGGAGTTAATTGTTGAGATTGCCATGTGAGAAGCATTGATTTCCAGAAATGCAGATTGTCTGCACCACTATTAATTAGTATGTCAATTATTATCCTTTTGGCTGTGAAGAATAGAAATCCTTGCCTGTCACTCAAACCAGGCTAAACAATAATAAAATTTGTTATCTCGGATAACAGGTAGTCTATAGGCTATGCAGGTACCAAGCATGGTACAACCAGGACTCCTATTTTGTTTGTGATTCTCTCGGCTGGCTCTATCCTTTTCTGAGTGTCTGCTTTGCCTTTTGGCTGGTCTTCCCTCATAATTGCAAGATGGCTGCCAGCAGCCACTGGGGCAACATGTATCTCTCCTAGACGGAGAAATCAACGTAGATTACCTGCTTACAGATGAACTAGTAAGCATTGCTGGAAAATGTTGAGCATCAGCAGGGTTAAACCTGGGTTTTTGGAAAACTCATCTGTTTAGAGCAGTGGTTCTCAACCTTCCTAATGCCATGACCCTTTAATACAGTTCCTCATGTTGTGGTGATCCCCAACCATAAAATTATTTTCACTGCTACTTCATAACTGTAATTTTGCTACTGTTATGAATTGTAATGTAAATATCTGATATGCAGGATGGTCTTAGGTGACCCCTGTGAAAGGTTCGTTTGACCCCCAAAGGGGTTGCGACCCATAGCTTAAGAATTGCTGGCTTAGAGGGATAGGTTATGGTGTTTGGCTTAGACCACTTAGGACCAAATTCTTATGTGGGACACATAGCATCACATGGAACATGTGAGGCTAGCATGGATATCAGAATAAGCCCAGGGCTCTTTTCTGTAGGGGGACCTCTGGGAATCAATGCTGGGTGTGCTGTGAATAACGTCACTTTGGTCAAGGAACATGATTTGCTGATCACAGCTAATTTTTGCTCTTATTTCCATTTGGTACTGGCCCAAATGATGGTATAAAAACTATTGAGCTGCTTTGCCAAAGTGGTGACGAGAATGTGTAAGAACTGCTATGTACTCATTAGTTTGGCCATTATTCACACCTCTTTTGTATTTGGTATACTCCTAAGATGGAAGGGGAAATGACAGACACGGTCTCTTTTTTGTTAGGGAGTTTTTGTTTTGTTTTTTTGCAGTTTTTGGCCCGGGCTGGGTTTGAACTTGCCACCTCTGGCATGTGGGGCCGGAGCCCTACTCCTTTGAGCCACAGGCACTGCCCAAGTTCTTTTTTTTTAAAAAGAAAAAAAAAAATAAACAGTCTCATTCTGTTGCCTTGGGTAGCAGTGTGGTGGTGTCAGCCTAGCTTATAGCAGCCTCACTCTTAGACTCAAGCAGACCTTTTGCCTCAGTCTTCTGAGTAGCTGGGACTATAGGTGCCTGCCACAAAGCCTGCCTAGTTTTTGTATTTTTAGTAGAGAAAGGGTCTCACTCTTGCTTATGCTGGTCTCAAACTTGTGAGCTCTAGCAATCTACCCTCTTAGTCCTAACAGAGAGTTAGGATTACAGGTGTGAGCCATGGCACCCTGCAAGGGAGCTAATGTTCTAATTAGAGGGGACTACTATAATAAGCTAACATAATAATTTTAGATTAAATCATGTATTGGATAGGGGACTTGTATCTAGTACGTATCTATCTAAACAGACATTTCACTTATGAAGATACACAAATGACTAATAAGCCTATGAAAAGATGCTCAGCATCATTGATCATCAGAGAAACGCAAATTGAAACTCCAAAGGCGCACACCATTTCATATCCACTAAAATGGCTAGAATCAAGAGAGAAATAATAATAAGTATTGGTGAGGATGTGAAGTAATTGCAGTCTTTATACATTTTTGGTGGTTATGCAGCATCCTGCAGCCACTTTGGAATATCTGGAAGCTCTGCAAAGGTTAAACATAGTTAACAGGCTGGGCAGGGCGGCTCATGCCTACAATGCCAGTACTCTCGAAAGCCGAAGCAGGTGGATCCCCTGAGCTCACAAGTTCGAGACCAGTCTGAGCCAGAGTGAGACCCAGTCACTAATTGTGGCGGGTGCCTGTAGTTACTCAGGAGGCTGAGGCAGGAGAATCACGTTAGCCCAAGATTTTGAGGTTGCTATGAGCTGTGACGCCATGGCACTCTTATCAAGGGCAACAAAGTGAAACTCTGTCTCATTAAAAAA